TGGGGAGGGCCGGTCGCTTCTGAAGAGGAGCCCTCAGGCGGGCCGGGCCGGGCTGGGCAGGCTCCCGCCGGGCGGGCCGAGGGGGAAGGGCCCGCTCCCCTCAGCTGCGGGGCAGGTACCGCCCGTCTGTTGGCAAATCCCCGCCCCGACGGGGGAAGGCAGAGGGAGAGCCGGCTCTGGCGACCCCCCTCGACGCCAGCAGCTGTTGTGTGAGCGAGGTGGGCTAAAACCCCCAAAATGTACCTGTAAGAGAATTTATGTGAAGAGGGCCGTTGTGACCTCTGAGAGCTGGGGGTAGAAAGCTGGCAGCCATTTTGTCTTCCCTCATGCTCATCTTTAAATGTTATCAGCGTTAATAAGGACATTTGTCACCACTGCTAAAGGCTAACTGGGGTTGGGCCCCTGTTGTGATAGCGAACGCGATGACGCTTGGACATGAATCCCTTTTTGCAGGTGATGAAGCCGAGACACATGGAGCTGAACATACCCCTGGTAGCCACTTGCTCTTACGTGGCATCACGGCAAGTTGTACGAGGCACTTTCCAACAGCCAAAGGGGCTTCACTGGGCTCCCCACCATCATTTACGTCAACAAAAGCTTCAGTAGCTTCTATATAATATTAACTGAAAGTCTTGCCAAAGCCTTAACTCTTGAGGTTTTGGGGTTTTTTAATCTATTACTAATCCCAAAGTATTCAGTAACACTGTCAGGTGGAACAGAGCATCTGTGGAACTAGTCACCCACACAGTCTTTATAACATGCGGAGTAAACCTTGCCTGTACATGCCATCCTTATCAACAAGACACTCACATTTGCTCTGAGGTAGTGACTAGTCATAACTTTCAAATTAATTAATCTAGGTAGGGGTTGAGCTGGCTTCCAGAAAAGTTAAGCTGATTTAAGGAGAAAGATCTCTGACATAGCTCACCCAGAGACCTTACCAAACTTGGCAAGTTTTATTTGCTGCATGTGACACTTCCAACCTTGACTTCTGCCTGCAGTTCCCCCTTCCCTCTTTTTCATGCAAGGGATAAAACTCCTGCAATCCTGCAAGGTACTACCTCGGGCTTTCTCCTGATGGGATGCCATGAACCAGATTTAAGTAGGCACTATTTGCTTACAGGCTGCTCTAGCTATAGGGTCATAAAAAGGGAGAAATTATGATGCTGTCTTCTAATTAAGGACCTCTTCAATGCAGTAGGCAGCATACAGAATCCTCCACTACAGTTAGTTTATTGTTTCCTCTGTTATAGGGACAGATTTGGTCCAAGACTGGATTCTCCAAACAGCTGCTGTCTCACTTATGGAAAAAGAAGGTATACGTGATAGCTAAAGACATTATATGTCTCGTGACGAGAAAACTAAAATTTTGCTATAGAACACATCTTGTCACTTTTTTTGAAAGGTAAGGTTTACTAAATTATTTATAGAGCAATATCCAAAATATGGAAAATGTCTATGTTTTGATATAAACTTGCCCTTTAAGGAAACAGGAGACTAGTAAAAATGAAAAGTGTTAGGTCTGAAACATGGGTCAGAAAGAAACAAGAGCTCTGTGTGTATGTAACATGAATATTTTCATTATTTATGATGACCTTAGTTACAAGGAAGAGGTTGGGGAAAATGTTTCAAATTACAAACAGGAGTCTGTGAGTTACTGCTGTCAGACTACAGAATCTTTCATAGCTGTATTGGTATTCCTATTAGTTATCTCTTTCTGTGGTCACACGTGGAGACTTCACACAGGTTATAGGAAAACAGGACAAGTACGGACAGATAAATAGAGCAACCTTGACTGAAGAGTTTGCAATATAAGATGAGTGTAAGGAGTTTCACATAATCTTTCATAATTTGCTTATCAGTCTGCATCTCATTAATTTAGGATGATAAAAAATCTGAAAGGTATTTTCTGCTGACTGTTGTCGCATAGCCAAAATAGAACAGGTGACATAATTTCTCTCAGATAAGCATATGTATAATATTGCCACTGCTAGGCCTGGATAATAATTATATTCTGAGGGGTACTGATCAGGATACTGTTTATTACAGGAGATAAAATGAAGAAATATAAGGGATACCTCAATCCCTTTTTTTCTTCTTTCAAAATCCATTATTCCAAAAATATGTAGGGAGTAAGGCTAGGAAAAAAATGAAATTCATACCAAGTATTGGGTGTTCTTTTGGGGAATAGTGAGTAAGAGGGTTCATGGTTCATTTCTGCTTGTTGAACACTTTTCACTAGAATTTGAATTAATTCAAAATTCAAATGTGGCACTAAAAGCTATTCAAATGATAACTCATTCAGTAATAGTTCTCCATCACTTGGAAAAATGACAGTTTCATGGGTCTGAATCACCTCTGTCTGGTGGAAATGATGCTTACTGCGTAGCTGGAAGGGAGGTGCCTTAAGATAAATCCAGAGCAATGCAGGAAATGTTGCTGGTGACTCAGTGGGTCTCAGTCTACACTCTTGAGGGCCAAATTGTGATTTTATGCAAGTCCCAAAGGACAGTGAAGCCCTTAAGAGAACATCAGGAGTTTGCTCCAGAATTCACCTACTGCATTCTAAACTCTCTTCTTCCCTTTCTCAGACCAGGAAGAAAGTCCTTGCAGGCTTTTTATGAAGTTAATTGTCCTGTCGTGCCTGCTCATTTGCATCTCCTGGTGTACATGCAGGGCAGGTTTATGGTCCCCAGCTGTTCCTACTTCTGCCTGGCTGCAAATGTGTCATTGGAGCCATGGATGCTGGTCCCTCATGTGCTGTGTAGTCCACATAGCCATGACAGAGAAGTAGGGTGGCATACGACACTGCACAGAATTAATAGTGAAGTGATGCCTTATCTTAGTGCTGCTTTAGGGATCTATAGGCTGCTGGTAAAGGAAGTGCCATTTGGATGATGTATAAATCTAAATTTATGACCCCGTAACCATTAACATGCATACTTACTTGCATGAGTATAAGAATATTTTCCACTGTCTTGTCCCAATCCAAACTGGGTAATTATGTATCAGCTGATTTAAATCTCCATGTCTCTCTCTCAATTTAAATTGCAAAGTACTCTAAAATACACACACTGTCCTAAATCCTGTTGTTCTAATTAATCTCTGTGTATTTGTGAGTCTCCTAAGTTTTTTTGGAGTGAATTTCTATGTACTTCAAATTTCTTGTTATTGTTTCTTTAATATGGTTAAAGTTCAGAAACATTCACTTCTGTTATAACCTCACTATACAAATTGTGTAAGTTAAAGACCACTCTGACCTCCCCATTGAGGTCTCTAAATTAGGAGCACATGTTTAATATTCATCCTCAGTTCCTTGTAGGAGTATTTTGAAAAGAAATCCAAGCACACTTTAAACTGGAGTAATAAACAGTGTTTATTTATCAGATTGTCTGCATCTCATTTCCTGAACTGAACAGCTAAAGTCTGTTTGCACTCCTGACACTGCAAGTCTCACAAGCTGATCCAAGAGAACATCTGTCAGTTTGTTTTCAAGACTGGACATTGCAGAAGAAAAGAAGGGGTTGGGGCAGAAATAAGACTTTCACAAACACAACAGTTCAAACAAAGTGAGAACTTTCTCGGCTGCCTTCAAAATCCAGGCGAGCTGTGCCTTAGAA